GGAGCGTGCTGGGCAGCATCCTGCGTCCCTGCATGGCTGAGCCATGGTGACCACTGCTGACACTCATCCCACTGCCGTCTGGTAGCCCAAACCACAGCTTTCAAGCAARCCCAACTGCTTCTCTCCAGCCCTGTGGCTGAGGCAGATACCCCCGGGCACGGGGCCYGTGTGGGAACATGCAGGGCTCACGTGCAGGGCCCTGCAGCAGCTCCAGGGCTCTGCTAATTGCAAAGCCCGTCGCAGTGCCTGGCCACTGCCTGGCAGCCTCGGCGGCTCCGACAGAGTAACAAACGTGGTGGTTCAGTGGTGCCTCCAGGCACCCTTCTCGAGGCCTGTCACATGAAAGGGACACAAAAGGAGGGGAGGCCACACGAGATGCACAGAGGTCAGTTTTGGAGACCCTCTCTGATCACCTCTTGGAGGGGTTACTGCGAGACCCTATGAGGCTGGTGGCCCCTCTCTGCTCATACACTCTGTTGTTTAAACTCTCCTTTTAAAACCTGGCAGTTCTTCCCATCCAGAGTAAACAGGCTGCAGTACTGGCTGTCCAAGGCAGTTACGCAGTTGGAAGGTCGCTGTCCAGGTAGATGGGCCCATTCCTAAAGAGTGTGAAGAGATACAACAGAGATACAATAAAACGAGAAAAAAAAAAAAAAAAAAAAAAAAGCACACAGAAAAGATAACTTGCCTTCATGTACCAGTAACATTACCAGTAACAGTACCACTCTTTCCCTACTCACCTGCCTCCAAATCATGATGAACAGAAGGTTGTTGAAGTGCACGTCATACAGAGAGGCACCACCACGCATTTTCAGTGCAGCTCCAAGTTCTTAAGGAAGAAATAATGCTGAGAATCATTCCCACAGCCCGTCTGTGATGAGATGCGTGAGCTTCACACAGACGATGACCACAAGCGATTCTTGCTAGTGAGAGAATTTCTGAAGCTGCTTTCCTTAATCCATCAAAACATGAACCTTTTGAAATGCAGAGCAGTGCAGTTCTTCTCTGCCTGGAACTCCACAACGCACTGGTGTTTGTATTACCTTTTTCAGTAAGAAGAAAAAACACCTTCCCCAGACCAGGTGGTGTTGGGCAGAAGTGGTACATGGCACAGTTTCCACTCCACCGAAGGATGAAGGTCCTGAGCTTGGTGCACGGATGCAGCAATGGGGTGCACGGGGCTGAGGCAGCATGAGGTGCTCCCTGGTTGTACTCTTTGGAAAGGATTCAGCCTTCCAGGGAAGCCCAGGTCATGCCAGCTTGCTGTGAGGGCCCAGGGGACAGCTTAGGCTGACTGGGTACCCCAAGACTTGCAAGCCAGTGAGGGAAGCAGGTGGAACTGGAGGAGAGAGACCCGAGTGCCACACAGCTGAGAAGAGATTATCCCTTCCTCTTGGTACACTGGGGCACCAGAGCCACATGACTCCACTTGCCTGAAACAGGCAAGCTGAATACATAAGCCTACTGGATTTATAGAAGAGATACTGGCAAATACTAGCAACATTTGAAGCCAAATGCATGACAGCAGTCACTGCACCCCTGCCATCCACTCTCATATCCCTGCTTAATGTAATGCCTTTTGGCTTCCCAAGGCTCAGAGCTACGGTCTGTTGTTTAAACATGTGAACAACTGCAATCCCACAATGGTTCCTACTACACAGTGATGATGATGTGTTAGCATACAGCATACAGGTGCCGCTCCCATTCTCCACAAAGGGACCTCTTGACAAGAATGGCGTTTGGATGGGTAAGAATGACAGCACCTTTTAAAGACACGAGGGCAGGGATCCTACAAGCTCATCTGTGTGCAGCTACATGGAAAGGAGCAGTTTCACCAGGCGGAAGGGGAACTAAATCACACAGAGATTCTATCCAGTMCCTGCAACAAACGCCTCCAAAACACTTTGTGTTGAAGTAACTGTGTTTATTTCACACTAAGGAAGTGCACAGCTAGGTTACGTTGACCCCTTCCCAATGCATGGTTTTGCTCCAATATCAATCCGCACCTGCCCAGCACCCTTTAGGATGGGGCTGTGCCCGTGGAGCAGCTGCCAGCTCCAGAACACCCGGGACGCAACTCCAAGAGCTGCTCACCAGGCAGCCCTCCCACCAGCACGAGCTCCAGCTTGGCCACAGCTCCCCATCAGGGCTGGGCTCCCTTCTCTCCAACCAGCCCCTTGGGCTGGTATTTTACTCATACAGACTCTCTGTGCTCAACTTCACCAGCACAACGTGACCAGCCCCACTGCCTCTTGATTTGTCAGCATGCAGGGACCCCCGAGACACCAGGATTTTGCTGACAAATGACATTTCACACCTACCAGAGCTGTCAAACAGGGCCTAGATTTATCTGACTCCCAGCCTCAGTCCGAGACAGATGTAGGTAATGTACTACTTACAGCTTCACTCCCGCTCCTTAGCATTCACAGCTAGTTGTTGGGTTTGCTTTGTATTTTCAAGTTCAGAAACCTTATTAAAGTTGTTATGGAAAAAATAAATTTATTATTCAACATACTCAATCTTTTCAAAATGGAATGATCCTCTTCTCATTTTTTTTTTTGGTTTTCATTTACAACTGGTTCCATTCAGTTTGACTGTTTTTATCTTTTCTATTCATAACCAGCACCAAAAAGAAAATTACCATGGATACAGTACATATGCAAATTAACTAATGGAAAAATATATACATTTCACTCTGTAATGAAAAACTTACATGATATTATTGCCATGGAGGATATATCCCTGTATTATAATAAAATATCAAGCAATAATCAACTGCTAAGATTCTTCTCCACCAACAAAAAAATAGCACCATACATGAGATAGTGAGAATCTACACTCAATAACACAATTGTGCAACTAGAAATGTACAGTACGTTAGTAACAGTACAGAGTATTGTTTACAATATGGAAATATCACCACTGTAATCAAAGGAGTGTCAATCTCTTACAAACAACAACTAAAAGAAGTATTGTCATAGATACACTGAAACAAACGGCTTTCTCTTCACCAGTATGTGGTAACTCGGGGCAGAGTATAGCTGTAAATTCATAGAAAAGCTCCTATAAAATGATATAAAACAGAAGTACAGGAGTATTGAATTAAACTTCTTTTTTTTTTTTCTATTTTTCTGGCCATTACAAAATGGGAGGGTCGTCCCTAGATGAAGTTAGAGAATGTAATAAAATGGAGCTGTGTCGTGCCGTCAGTTTTTAATTAATGATGGTTTCTGATTTAGAAAAAAAGCCTGATGCATGCTAGTCTGTGGTCTGTGAGAGCAAGTGAGGTGCCTTTCAGTGCTCAGACATTCAGAAGTACAAATTCATGTCTCCTAAGACAGGATCCAGAACTTGGACCCAAATGTCCTTGGAAGTCCGGGACCTTCTGTACTGGGACAAGCCACAGGTTGAACTAACCCAGTATCCTGTTCTGAACAGAGGACAATCGTGAATAATTAGGGAAAAATAAGAATTCATATTTTTTCCTCTTCCAAGCACCATCCTAGGTGGCCACCTATTACCTAGGGAGAGTGCCAGATCAGCACCAGAAGGAAAAACAATAAATAATCCCTGTTATTTGAAAAGAAAAAATGTTTTCCATTAATAATAAACACACCACTTCTTCCAAGAAAATACAAAAACCTGGCGGCAAACCCTTCAACAGCCCAATCTAAATGGCAGCAATGCCAAAAATAATCAACAAAGGGGTAGCGTTTCACCTGGTCAGGCCACTTTATGGGCAAACATTGCCCAGTTGAAGGAAAACCACAGTCAGCTCCAAATTTGAGGAAGGCATCGCAGCAGGGAAAATGACCCCAGAAAATCCAGATATAAAGCACATATGTTCTCTGGGTTGTGCCTGATCTCTCCGGCACTTTCTCATTTGCCATTTGTCTAAGCAGGTATCACTGGGGTTTTGCCAAAAACTTCCATGACAGCACCACTTTCACGGATCGCTTCCTAAGGGACTACCCAACCACTACTACCACCTCCACACTGGGCTACAGGGTGGCAGCAACTGAAGAAAGAGATCCGCTCCTGACTTTAGGATGCCAAAAGAGCATCCAGTATAACAAAAAAACAAGTGTGAATCATTTCCCTGATGGAGAAAATCATCTGGAATATGGAAAAGGAGAGCTATTTGAGATAGGCACTTGAAGGAAAGCYGTGTGCAAATGTGCCTTGTGCATACAGAGCAGCACTTGTGTGCCCACACGCTCATTTGCACCAGCAAGCACAGATGCCCACACAGTATTAGTCTGCTGTGCAAGGTTAGATCTCTGTGCTTGAAATATGCAGTCCTTAATAAAATGCTAGTGAGTTTTTCCACTGAGGTTCTGGATATTGAAAGGTTTGCACTAAGAAGTTACTTTCAGAATATGTTAGGAACTGAGAGTCTTTATCTTTCCTTATGCTGGAAAGAAGAAATGACAGCAACAGTGACAACTTGAGGATGGGCATGAGCTGCAGTGCAGCCTGGCCCAGGGGGTAGGAGCAGGGCTGTGTTCTGTGCTCCTCTCTTAAGCCTAAAAATGGCAACAACTGGTTTTAGAGCGAGTACAAAGCTGTGATTCACGCAAAAGGCTCTGCTTGTATCATCAAGAGCGAGCTGTAACTTAACCACTGCACAACTGGCCTTGGAGCCTGGCAAGGGAAATGATACATGTTAGAGCAAGATACGATAGACACTGATCTGTAGGACTAATGTAGGGGGCAAACTCTGCCCTGTGTAGAGCTCCCATTTCAAGTCTCACTTCTCAGAGAGGAGTTTGGRTTAAAGTGCAGATACATGGAAGAGAATATTGTGTATGTAGCACTTTGTAAGTGCTCTGATAGCACCAAACCTGATAGCACCAGAAAAAGGAGATAGGAAGCATTTAAATACAGTGAGCAAAATCCTAACCTCTGCTGGAGGCAACAGGAGTCTTAGCCTTCTGGCTTCAACAAGCCCAAGATTTCACCTTGAATGTCTTATATCAATCACTGCTTTTGACTCAAAAGGCTATTTAATCTCAGATGGATACAAGAGCTGAGAGATGGGAAACACCTGTTTGCTCTCGGGTTCAGCCTTCATAGGAAGGCTTTTCCAAGTCCTGTTTCTGTAACAACCCTATCCAGTTTCACAGTCCTCTTAAAAAGTAACATTCAGTCTTCTTATCAGATTTTCTTCTAAAAACTGGAGAGCAGAGATGAAACCAAACAATCCCCCAGTGAACTACTGGATAAAATGATTTCTGGCTTCTCCCATCTCATGCACATGGGCTTCGCTTAGAAATAATTGTCTACTGCTRTTAATAAGCTTCCATTTCATTAAGCTCAGTGAAAAAAAAAGGCCTAATAAAAGAAACTGTATTTTTTTTTCTGGGAAAATGAGAAAGATTTTTTTTGAATTAGAAATAAGAACAAGTCCCTATTAATTGTGTTAAAAACATTATGTGGAATTTTGGATACTATTGCACTGAGCTTTCTTTATGAATTTCAGAGATGTCCAGCCTCTGCTATCAGCTTTCACAAGCTTTTACAGCAAATCCCTTCTTTAAATTAAGCCTTTCATTTATATGTGTCCCTCCAAGCCCACTCCACAGCAGGATAACTGTTGGGAATTAAAAACATCAGATGAAAGCCAAGACTGAAAGATTAAGCAATGTCTCTACCTTTGCTGAATTATTTTGCCAGAGGCTTCCTTCACTGAAGTACCCATAACCTTAGTCAATGTAATCACTTTGCAACTCTTGTCCTTTCTTTAAGGGTAGCAAGCCATCCAGTGGCTGGTAATTTAATATATTAAAGTAAAAAGCATTAATGAAAAAGGTAAGGATGTCAAAACATGATAAAATGATTGGCTCCTTGAGATGACTCTTTTCTGCGTGATTTTTTTTTTAAGGTGGATGAATGGATTACTTTGGTATCCAGTCTGTAGAAAGAGTTTCAAGTCTTATTAGGTAAGCTTTGGAATCCACCACGTTGTAGCAACTCATTAAGTTCCAGTACTCAGACCTACTAGTTCGTGATTTACATACAAATAGCTGTAACACCCTAAGAAGTAGCACAGGTTCATTAACTCTTCTGCTGCATCTTGTTTGCATAAAAGTCTCTGCAAGTCTGGCAGCAGCGCTGATACCACCGCATGTCTTGGCACAGATTCTTCTCCCGGATCACCCGGCAGTACACTGTCCACTGGTCGCCTGTACACTTGTACGTGAGAGCAGCTTGGGACGAGAAAAGAGAGGAAAAACTAAGAGATTAGCCAGAGAACAGCACTGCAGAGGTGATCAAAATCACTGCACATCCAGGAAGAAAGAGCCAAGCTTTCTGTCAATACTGGAGATATGATGGTTAGCTGTCTCACATAGTTCTAAAGAGAGTAGTGGGTAACAAAACTGTACACTTGATAGAAATTCATGTATATGCTGAAAGCTTTTTACAGTGTAAGACTTCAAAATTGTATGTAGCATTTTTATGAACGCTCTGTTAAATGGGAAAAGTTCTAAATGAGTATTATAGTTTCTGAGAATGGTAAAAAATGACTGATAAGAGCACATTAGAGGGTGCCAACCTAGCAGCATCTTGAGCCCTTGTTCCTCATCCCTGATGGATGCAAACAGGAAAGGCCCACATACTGTAATGCGCTTGAAGTCTCAGTGCCAAGCACAAGCAAACCATGGCAGGAAAAACTAGTAGGAACACATATTACTGAATTTTACCGGACAAAAGGCAAAAGATTGCTAGAATACGATGCAGTGAAGTTGCAATGTCCAGGGAAAAAAAAAAAAAAAAGAAACAAGAAGCAAATTTTAAAAATCTGACTGCAAGAAAAAAAGCTGAGAACAAATGGAGTGGTCATCTTGACCAAGGGGAGCAGTTTCTGACAGTCTGCCCGTGGTGGAATGGCTCTTTGAGAGCAGCAGATCTGCAGCTCTGCACATGCACTGGGGCTCTACCAGAGACAGCMGCAGATGGGATATGGCAGATCATCTGCAACTCACCTGAATTTGAGAGGACAGCTTCATATACCAGAAGGCATTGAGCCACAAATAAGACTATGCTTCTAACATGTTTCACTTGTTTAAATGGTAGGTGCTTGGAAGAATAAACCAGAGGTCCAAGCTCCATACAAGCAGCGAGTGAGATAAACATGTCCAGGACACGAGTCAGATGTCTGAGGGGCTGAATAAATCCACCTGAATGTATCTTCACTGACAGACACTGAGCAGAGATGTGAAAATCGGGTAAGGTGATCTCCACACTTAGATACTTCTGAAAATGTTACCCCTGATGAAAAACACTCTGGAGCAGGGAAAAGSCAACACAGGTTTTGTAGACTCTGTTTTTTTTCAGTGTATTTTTTCAGTTTGTTTTTTTCATGTGGTTGCTGTTGCAGAGAATGGAAATTTCTGTTCAGATAATGCAATGAGAATTTGTTTATATGCAGGAAGAGCAAAACACTCAGCGCTGTATCTTTCTGCTGCTATCAAATATCATTATTTCTGGCCCTGGTGATTCTAAACTTGGTTTAAAAACAAAAGCATCCAAAATTACTTGCAGATTACTTTCAGCAAGGACTTGAACCTCCTCAGCCTTCTAAACACGTGAGGTTTTTATTGCTTTGTCCTAAAAATGTGAATTAGGATGGATTTCTTGTCTCATCAGTATATCAAAAGCTTACTTCTCAAATGAAAAGTTTTTCCTCCACTATGCCCTTAGTGGTAAAACATCTGGGAAATAGCCTCTCCTGTTCTTAAACAAAGAATTTAGAAGCTTCTCAGCTTAACTGCATTTACAACAAGAAAATTCCCCATATTCTTTTAAATAGTTGTGAAAAATGTTATTGACTTTGAGAAAARCAGAGTATCAGGTCAGAAGCCTCAAGGCCAGTCCTAGTTAAAGTACCTTTTAAGTTAGAAAGGCTGAAGTTTGAAAAAAAAATGTTTATCCTCTTATAAATGGAGCAAATAGGATGTGGAACATCATGGATTCCCACAATATTCTATTAAGGGAAGCATTCTTACCTAGCACCATTTTTTAAAATGCAATGTGAAGGTGTTTTGGGAAATAGAGAGCTTATCATTGCATACTCAAAATGACCACGGGCACAGGGAGAGTGGGATGAAGGCTGCAGGCAGAAAATCAAAGGGCTCAGAGAAAGAGACTGAATSCTCACTTACCTCCCAGGGATAAATTAATTTATCATATCCACATTCTTRTGGCAGCAAACAAAAAGGAACAAACCTTTCCGAAAAAAATAGATGCTCTACTTGTCAAGGTCACGCACTTTCCTTAGGGCACCGATAATGAATAAAGCCTCACATGTTACACTCACCACAACGGAAGCAGGGCAAGAATATACTTTGTGACTGAGAAGGATGTGCCCATCAGATTCCCCCTCTTCCTGCTGGGTCAATCACCCATTTGCCTGCTCCTGCTGGGCTTGGAAGTCTACCAGTCAGCGCTCCAGCTTTGTGAAAGCTGAGGCTGGGACTGATGGATAAGAGGACCCATCCACACTAGACCTTTACTCTAGTCTGACCGGGTGGCCCTTTCATCATTTCTGGCCCTGATCAATACTCTGAAGCCCGAYCATTACCACGCTGGGCTTTGATACCTTGTGTTCTGCTTAGAGTCACAGGTGGCCCCTTCTCCCAAGACCCCTCACTCACCAAGTCTGGGCGAGGTAATTGTGTTGACATTTATCTTCTCGTTGCAGACCTCCTGGTGACACTGCCTGTAGGCCGCTGGCTTGGACAGGATGGGGCACTCGCTGCCGTGGCGCCCTGTGACTTTGTGCATACACTGGACCACGCGTGACTGGAGGCCTTTCCCGCATGTTGAGGAGCACTGGAGGAGAGAAGGGACTGAGACACGGTCCAGGCAGAGCAGTTTCAAAAATCATATACACGAGTACACCGTAAAATTCCCTGCAGGGCTGAAGAAGACTGGCAACTATCTATGGTGTTGGGACTCCACAATGGAGAGACAGGGACCCTTCCTGCAGCTGTTGTATTTGACCATGAGGGTTTCCATGAGCAGAGGAGCTGTTCCAGGACAGGACCGGGAGCTGCTGCCTTTCTGTCTGGACTCATTTCATCCTTGGGAGTCCATCTACATCGACTGTCTCACCCGTGACAGGGAGCAGCCAGGGGTGCAGTTCCCTCCACCAGCCACAAAGAGGCAAAGCTGGAAAACAGATACTGCCAAATACTACACTTAGCACATGCAGCTCCCTCTCCATGAGAGACCCAAGAGAACTGGTTGCCTTGATTTGAAAGCCCTCTCTAGGACATGGTCAGTCTACCAAGGCTTCTTACAAGGCAAGATGACCACTGCAAGAAGACAAAACCAAGGCTTACAGCACAGGCAGGTAGCTCCTACTGCACGCCTAGACCTCTAGAGAAGCTCTCTTCTAGCATCGAGGAGGAAACATCAGGTATTCAAGTATTCAGCCTCATCTATCCCTGCTAACTGTCTGGCACTCATCAGTCCTCCTGGGAGCAATTGCAAACTGTATTCCATGAGTTTTGGCTTCTATTTGCCAGGAGGCCCAGCCTGTTTATATGCTTTCCTTGTTGTCGTACAGTTGGAGTCCCTGCCTCTCCCTCCCTCTTCCTCTGGCCCAGTCACTTGTGATTTACAATGTCCTACTTGCAYGCTGTTCAATTTTAATAAAGCAAACACACTGAGCACAGTGAGGTGCACCAGCTGGAGTTAATAAAATARCCTTGTATTTAAAATAAAGAAACAATGGGTTGCAGGACTTTGGTAAGGTTCCTATTTCTGCTAGAGCCACACACAAGCAAACGATGGGGGAGAGGAGGAGATGGGGAGAAAAACACAAGATATACACTTAGGATGGTACTGAAAACATCCTGATTTCTGTCCTCTGTTGTTTCTGAACAAGGTCAATGCAACGCAGGAGGTCCTTCTAGCGAAACACTATCGCCTTGGAGCGGTGGGTTATTAAAAAGAGTTATCCAAACACTTAAGGGGCTCCAAAGACAAGCACCACGGAGGCTGGAAGCCGTTCAGATCCTGAGAAGGACTTGTGAAGTGTCTTGACAGACTGAATGGAGAGAGATGGAAGAGCTCTGCTGCTCTGAACCCACAGGAACTCCCAAAAGCACCAGCTCTACACGGGCCAAGTGCAGGCACAGTGAGGTTACRCACATAGCTCACAGGATGAGATACAAGTGATGGAATAGCCTCTGTTTTAAGCTTGGGCTGCTCTGCTGACATCAGCCCCAAGACTGAAGTCCAAGCACAGACTACAGGTATGCAAAACCAAGAGCTGGGTCAAAAGAAYGTATGGACATACCTAATTCTCTATCTCTTCCTCCTCTTCCGTCTAGGAGGAGAGCCCAGCAAAACTGGGGTCATTTTGTTTGGGAAATAGCACAAGAAACCCTTGCTGCTTCTCAAATAAWATCAGACACAAGAAGACTGGCCTTGTTCTGAACTGGAGCACAAGCAGCTTTTCCTTCCTGTGCGGGTCAGTGAAAGGCCTGATGGAAACTGGTTGAGATGAACAGGACCACATCAAACAGAGCTGGTGCAGCCCTGCTTCAATCACCCAGTGCACCTCTATTTCTGGCTAAGAGGAGCTGTAAGATCCCTGTAAGATCGCTGAAGCCTGTTGTCAAAGATAACACAGATTCCTAATAATGTAATTATCTTCTTTAGTTGTTGATACTAGTAACAGTTTATCAAACTGCTCTCCTCTTTGGTAAACTCAACAATTTGTTATTTCTTTTTCTTTTTAAATTCTTCCTTATACTCCTGCTCTTTATTCCTATTCTTTCCTCCAACATATTTCCCTAGGATTAAATTTCCCTATTCTGAACAGTCTCCGACTCAGATGCCCTGCTGGAYTCTGCCATTAGGCCACGCTGATGTGCTGAGCTCTGTGTTTCCAACTGCATAGCCCCTCCAAGATCTTCTTATGAAGTATTTTGAAGGTAAAAGTAATGCAAAATTAAAGGTTTGAAATGCATTTTGGAATTCTACAATTTTTTAAAATGGTTATTTTTTCATCCCCCTTATTTCAATTTAGTGTCAAACACATTAGTTTACGTTTCTTTGCACTTAGGCATTCAGGTATTGAATTTACATCATGATTTGGTCACTTCAGGAATGATTACAGTATTTACGACTCAGCTGAACTAGTCCTCTGCTTGTGTGCTGTACAATCAACTATTCCAAAAAACAATCCTTGAAGTTCCTCATTTAACCCTCCTTCCTGTAACTTCACTTTCTGTGGCAAATGCAAGAATTTCATTAGTCAGGGCTGCCCCTCTGCTGCTTCCCAGCATCAGGCACCTCCAGCAACTTCTACGAGCATGAACGCCAGTCAGGCACGACCACGTCATTTGGAGATAAAGCTAATGAACTTTTGTTGTTATAAATTCAACTATGAGGTCCTTCCTCTTTACCAGCCAAATGCAACCTCTAATCCCCAGGATTTCAATGGCACTGCTGGTCCTCAGAGCGCTTTAYTAACCTTAATCCTCACAAAACTCTYGGCAAAGGGAGTGAATTATATGTCCGTCTTTCGTACAGAATAGTTGTATTGCACAAGCATAAAGAAACTTACCCAGGGCCACGGGGCCCCTTGACACGATTGTAACACAGTCGGTCTGAAACTTTTGTCTCTGGCCTTTTGACATTCCCTGAATAAGGTTTTCAGATACTGATGTACAAACACTCACCCACCTATGTCTGTGTTTCTGTGTCTGCATTTGTTAACCAGCAAGGAGGGCAAGCAATGAAACTTTTTCCACAGACACTGCCAACTTCAATCCTTWGACAAATAACAGCAGAGTTTTTGCCCAAAGCAGTTTTATTCCTCCTCCTGGGAGACTGGGATCATCACCTATGCAATGCAATTAGTTTTTCACAGCCAGGAAGACAGATTTTAACATCTTTCTTGAACTCTTTTGGGCTTGGCAGCAAAGGGAAGGTTGCACATCTGGCTTATTTTAAGACAAAATTTTCAACTCGGTACTTGGATAGTCTATTTGCCTAGGAATTTCAATAGGAAATAGGAATAGATACAAAATACATACAAAGAAGGAATTGTTACTCCTACTACACCAAGAAGAGAGGACATCATTAAAATAAGCACAACAGTCAGACTCCAACTGAACAGCAGATCCCCATAAATATATTTTCTCCTACTCTGGCCAGCTGAATGAATTTGCTGCAGCCTCTCTGTTCCCAAATATTTACAGAGGAAGTAAGTGCACCCACAGAGCAGSAAGTAAATACACCCACAGAACAATCTGCAAGACTAAATTCACTCTGGGTCTTCTGATAAAGGTTGCTTGGGCTKGGATGCAGGAACTGCAGTAGGAAAAGCTGCTGAAGCCTTCCTGAAAACAGAGGAACAACTGAAGGAGAGAGCAAACTGCTCACAGCTGCATGTGGGGGCTGAWAGCATCTTTACTGCTCCAACTCCTATCCAGTGTCGACAGGTACCCTGGCACGGTGCAGAAGGCCGAGAGGCTTCACTGCTGCACTGGGAAATTSCTCTGGTTGTATTTAAAATACTGCTAAAGGACAGTGGATTTTTTGGAGGAGTACTGAGCTGTTACGCTGCTATTTARAGAAGTACTCTGCAGTTCTGAGAAGCCTTCACAAGCACTGACCAAACTTTTTTCCCTATTAAGCACTGCCAGTGACACCACTATCGAAAAAAGGCATATGCAAACTACACGGCTTAACCACAAGGAACTAAAGGATTCAGATTTCCTCATAATACAGCCATTGTCAACAGGAAATCAACATGCAAAGATCTAAGAATTGCTCAATACTGTATAAAAGAAGGGTTAATGAAAGGAGTTATGAAAAGTGAACCTGATGAGAATCCTAGTAGTTCCCAGTTCAAACACTGCTCAAAAAGGCAAAAAGAATACAAAAAAATGCCTCCATTCACATTCCTTGGCAGTAGCATGCAAGCCAGTGGGGATATCCAGAAGGAAATAAACTCACAAATTCTCGAGGCAGCAGCTGCATTCATCAGCTTAAAGAAGATTTACTCACAGAAAAACTCCAACCATAAGACCAAACTATGATTTTTCAACTGGAATGCTATTTCCACCTTAGGATACTGATATGAAAGCTTGAAATCTACTGGAGGTGAAGACAGATGTCTAATTGCTTTGAAAGCAAATGCCTCAGGAAAATATTAGGTATTAAAGTAGCATGAATTTACGGTAAGGGCTGAGATCTGTCAAGGACTTCTTCAACACCTGATCTGCAAAAGATAGCCTGAGAAGGAGACCTAAATGGGAGTGAATGAAGCCAGTCTGTGATCTGCTCAGAACTGGATGGGGCAATGGTGGGGACTGCCGCCCTGGCAGGGCCGCATTCAGGCCGTATGTCACCATTAGAAATATCTTTTTTTTTTTCTTTTTTTAACACCAGAGATTTGTTGCTTCTATCGAAGAGACGGGGGCATCCCTTCAGGCAGGTCTGGATCTATCGAAAAGGTTCCTGTCTTCTGAAGACAGAGAGCTCAAGACAACACCAATAACCGAGCCGAAGGCAAGATGTTTTCCTTCTTAATCCATCAGTCCGTAGGCATCTGATGTTTCAAGACACTGGTTTGTCCCCAGTTTGCTGAAAGATGCTGAAGCCAAGGATAACACTATGGCTAAACATCTAATATTGAGAGATAGTCATGCTTTACTGACTTCAGTGTTCAAGTATTTCATTGCATTACGAAAGGGTAGAGAGATTTTCCCCCTGGGGTCTTATTTCTTGCCTCCACTAAAGTCAGAAAGAAATCAAGACAAGTTCYTATTAACAACATTCTGAAACAGCATCAGGGATGAATGACAAAT